TTCAACTAATGTACTGATTCAATATTCAATATTCTTAAAAAAGACAATTTCACCCTCACAAAACCAGCGATGTGCTCATGTTGCTGACCTTTCTAGTCTTCAGTTTTTCCTGAAAAAAAAATTATTCAAATGTTGTTTTAATGTGCAGCTGTATTTCCATAAACAATTCCAAATAAATGAATCACTGCAATAAAATAACTGAAGCCACTATCTGTAAAAGATTCAGTACTGCAATTCTATTATAATTCATATTTTCTCAAAATCATGTAAAACTAAACAAGACAAATTAATTTGTAATTAACAACTTCTGTTTAATTTAATGACTCAACAAACAATCTAGATGTAAAAGGAATATACAGAAATGCATTTAATGTTGCAGTTTGTGGAGCACCATGTTCCCTCTCTATAAGACACCTTAAATAAAACAACTGCAATATTGTAACAAATACCATAGACAAACTCTAATAACTCGACATTATTTTCAGTCGGAGCAGTTTTAATTGTGTAGTTGAGTGATTATAAAACATCTCAATCGTACAGCATCCTAAACATTTATGTACAGCATTCTTTCAATTGAGAAGAATTCAAAACCTGAACATTTTGATTGGTGACTTGTTTTTACTCTCAGTGGTAAGTAACAGTGTTCTATAATATGATAATATAATAAAATAATGATTAATTTATCCAATCTGGTAATGTGACAACAAGACATGCATTACTAATCAAAAGCAAAGCAAAAGTAACATTTCAATCACTTTAATGCTCTTGATTACATAATCAGACTACAATGGTGACGTATGGAAATTGAATGCATAAGGAATTGAATGCATCATCATGCCATCTGCTGCTGTAAATAGAGTATAAAAAACAGTACTAAAGTTGCTCATATCATCCTGCAGAGGTCAGCATATGATCTTTAATCCAGAGGATGATCAAATCATATTAAATTGTACTGCTCTTCTAAACTGTATTTATGGCACAATATTGCAAGAAGAGCACTCTGCATTTAATGATAATTAAATGCATCTGTTATGAACATGTCTATGGTCAGAGCCAGAGTTAAGAATGCATATGAAAATGAAAATAAGTTAGAAATCTGAAAAAAAAAATTACATCTGAATTCATAATTATGAATCTGATTATACAAAGTCACTTTGAGTCTGAGTCATGTTCAGAGAGTCCACTGGGATTTTTCACCGTTTGTAGTTTGTCTGTGTTTGTTCCAGACAGAATGTCAGTCTGTGCTCATATTGCTAGAGACAGGGATTTGTCAGTTCCCTTTCAGGAACTCGAGCTGCGTCTAACGCTTTGGGAACGCCCCCGGTGAGACACCGTACTGAAGCATTCAGTTCCCCTTCAGGAACTCGAGCTGCGTCGAACGCTTTGGGAACGCCCCCGGTGAGACAGCGTACTGAAGCATGTGTGAAATCAGTCCAAAAGCGAAGCGAGACGTCACGAGCGGGGTGACGTAAGCAACCAGGAAGCATAAAGGCGCATCCGGCAAGCACACATGTTAGCTTTTGCTCTTCAGCGAGCACGTCTGTGGTGTATGTGTGAATGTATGCAAAGCACTCAGTCAGTTAAAAGTTAAGCAAGCAAGAAAAAGAGAAAAAATGCCAAAGAGTAAATCAAAAAATGCGGCGAGCGGATGGCGTTTCAAGTCGTGTGTTCCTCCCTGCCCACGTTATATCTCGGGTGGGGATACACACGATTTGTGCGTCATCTGTTTGGGAGCGGAGCATGCACGGGCAGCTCTTGAGGGGACTGCCTGCCATGATTGTGAGCTTCTCCCGCTCTGTGTGCGCTGGTGGAGCTCCTTTGGGGGGAGTTCGGCCAGGCGGAAATGGACCTATTCACGTCGCAGGAAACGACACACTGTCCGCTCTGGTTCTCCCTCACACATCCAACTCCACTTGGGCTGGATGCTATGGTGCAGACGTGGCCGAGGCTTCGTCTGTCGGGAGATTCCGATCAGGAGGGATCTCCTCTCTCAGGCAGGGGGCACCATTCTTCACCCCCGCCCGGAGTTATGGAAGTTGTGGGCGTGGCCCCTAAGGGGGCATAGCTCATAGCATCTGGTCTCTCAACTGAGGTTGTTGAGACCATACTCCAGTCCAGAGTCCCGCCACGAGGAAACTGTATGCCTTGAAGTGGAAACTTTTCACCTATTGGTGCGGACAGTGACTGCAAGACCCAGTCAACTGCCCAGTTGGTTCAGTTCTAGAGTTTCTGCAGGAGCGATTCTCTGCAGGGTTATCCCCTTCCACTTTGAAGGTTTATGTGGCGGCCATAGCTGCTTACCACACCTTTCAGGGTGGTGAGTCAGTGGGAAGACACCCGTTAGTTACACGTTTCCTCCGTGGCACGCGGAGGATGAGGCCAGTACAGTGCACTAAGGTGCCCTCATGGGATCTAACAGTGGTTCTGGAGGCTCTGAGCAAAGCTCCCTTTGAACCCATCGAAGATACTTCAGATAAGCTCCTCACGCTTAAGTCTATCTTCTTGCTCGCTATATCCTCGCTGAAGAGGATAGGGGACCTCCAGGCTCTTGCAGTGTCAGGCCTGGAGTTTGCCCCAGGCATGGTTAGGGCGTTCCTTTACCCGAAGCCCGGGTATGTCCCTAAGGTGCCCACCTTGTCGCTGGGTCCCATTGTACTACAGGCCTTTTGTCCTCCTCCCTTCCAGGAAGCAGGCCAGGAGAGACTCAATCTGCTGTGTCCAGTGCGAGCTCAGGGATTCCAGCGACCAAGCAAACTATGAGTCGGTGGGTGGTCGAGGCCATCACACTGGCCTACGAGTCCTCTGGCCTCCAGTCACCCATGGGGGTCAGAGCGCACTCGACCAGGGGTATGGCGGCCTCCAAGGCCTTATCAGTGGGCGTGGCCCTTCAGGATGTTTGTGCTGCGGCAGGCTGGTCCTCTCCGCACACATTCATTCGTTTCTACAGTTTGGACCTGACATCTACTCCAGGCTCCCAAGTCCTTTCGTCTTGATGTGCTCGCCAGATACACGCCAGACAGCGACTTGCTCGTATGGCGCAGTGGGTATTCTCGTTCCCAAAGCGTTCGACGCAGCTCGAGTTCCTGAAGGGGAACGTCTCGAGGTTACGTATGTAACCATGGTTCCCCGAAGGGAACGAGACACTGCGTCTCCCTGCCATACTCCCTACATCCCTGCAGGCGCTCGCTTCCGCAGAAGCTAACATGTGCGCTTGACGGATGCGTCTTTATGCTTCCTGGTTGCTTATGTCACCCCGCTCGTGACGTCTCGCTTCGCTATTGGACTGATTTCACACATGCTTCAGTACGGTGTCTCGCCGGGGGCGTTCCCAAAGCGTTTGACGCAGCGTCTCGTTCCCTTCGGGGAACCATGGTTACATACGAAACCTCGAGACGTTTCTCTCTGTTTTTTTTTTGTTTTGTTTTTTTCAGGTTCAGTTGTTGCACAAGTAGATGGCATCAAATGACTGAATTATTGAATAATTAACTGAATAATTTACTCACACACATCAATTCTCTTAAAAACACAGTTTCATTACAAAACACCAAAAATGTGTGCTGGTTGGTCAGTTACTTCCGTATTACTGAATCATTATGTGGAAAGACTTTACAAAAGAGGAAAAAAAGATAGATGGATTACAACAATAAAGATAAAAATTTATTTGTGTGTGTGTGTGTGTGTGTGTGTGTGTGTGTGCGCGCGTTTTTGTGACAAATGAGGACATAAATTGGTATAATGACAAGGGTATGACATAGGTATTACAAGGAGAAGGTGACTTTTCAGGACATTACCCCATGTCCCCACT